TAGTGGGAGGGGGCTCATTTACAGGTATCATCCTGGGGCCTACAGGAGCATGCACTGCCTGGATTCCTGGGGCTTCTTTTCATGAGTGTCACCTCAGTTCCAGGGGCCTCTAGCTCCAGCTGTGGCCATAATTCCTGGAACTTCAGTCTTGGAGGCTGCTGCAACTGCTTCTCTGGTTCCACCACATCCAGGAAGTCCAGTCAGTCCACCTTCAGATGTATAGATGTGTGAATTTTTCTGGCATTCTAGTGTGCTGTGCACAGAGTACTTTGTTGGTCTACAGATGTCTGTCCTACTGCTCGTATCTTAGAGGAGAGACACAGAGGGAACAACTCACTCTGCCATGATTCTGACATCACTCCAAAGGTTCTCGATTTTTAGCACAAAGAAATTAATCTTCAAATAAGGAATGTGAAAAGGCAGTTAAACATGAAGAAAGTCTGTGGAAGAAGTGAGTAAATATAAAAGCCATGTGGCTAGAAAATGGAACTGATAAGTAAAATGAAAAGGTAGTTGTCTGAAAAGAAACATAAAATAGACAAATGTTGGGCAAAGTATGATATGGCATGACCCCTTTCCCAAGGCAAGGCAAGGACACAGACCTACTAATCTGAGTGTTTCCAACCAAGACCTGTGGGGGCTTCCCTGTCCTTGAATGTATTCTGAGTTTCTTTTGGAAAAACATTGACACTTCTTATCTTTTAGAGTCAGATGTGGAAGACCTAATGATTATTTCCCCTTCCCTTCCCTCCCTCCCATCCTTTATTTTCTCACCTGCTGAATCATTTTTATCAGTTATGAATTGGCATGTTACTTATTGCTTTATTGTCTATATTGTCCAATAAAGTGTTGCCTAGGACATTTTCTGTATAAGTTAGTGCTCTCAACTGAGTGCCTGATAGAGAGAAATAAGTTCATTATTCACTGTGGGAATAAAAGAATAAGGCAGCAGTAAGAACTTAAAAGGATGCCCAGAGCTTCAGACTTCTCCAGTATCCATTAAGGGAAGCTCAAGAATATTGACCATATAAATCATTTTACTTCGCGTCATATCCCCGGTGGCAATCTTAACCACTGCTGTACAGTAGAATGTGTAAATCATGTTTATAAGGGAAATATTCACTTAAGCATGTAAGTAATATAAAAACACTGTGATATTTTACATTTTTTGCACATTTGAAGACTTCTAAATTCTCTGCGTACTAAATTTTTATCAGATGTGCTTGAGTTATCTTTAGAAAACACAAAATTTAAAGTTGAAAGACTATAGGGGCCGGCCCAGTGGCGCAGTGGTTAAGTGCGCACGTTCCACTTCTCAGTGGCCCAGGGTTCACCGGTTCGGATCCCGGGTACTGACATGGCACTGCTTGGCACGCCATGCTGTGGCAGGCGTCCCACATATAAAGTAGAGGAAGATGGGCATGGATGTTAGCTCAGGGCCAGGCTTCCTCAGCAAAAAAAGGAGGACTGGCAGTAGTTAGCTCAGGGCTAATCTTCCTCAA